AATAAACAGGGCATTGAAAGGGGAATTACAAAGATTGGAAAATGAGACCAAGGGGAGACAGTATTGCTCTTTGCAACTCAGGTTAAAAAAGCCAGGCATGCTGTGTATCTAGAAGGGTTCTGTTAAAATCTGTATGTTGAGGATTGGACATTGTTGGTTAATTCAGTCTTTAAATATATTAGGAAAGCATCCTAATGGGCTTTGTGATTGTGGGAACTCTGAAACAGTTGAACATGTTTTACCGAAGTGTAACAAACATAATATAGAAAGCAGCGTTTTATACAAGAGATTATCAGATTTGGGAGTTAAGTCATTTTTAGTTCTATAATGGGTCAAAATGAGAACCATATAATTGTAAAAGTAGTATTACAGTTCTTGCACGATACAGGGTTAAATATGAAAACCTTGTTTTATGTGTATAAGTGGAATTAATTTAAAGTAACTTTCTTGCACTTAACCAGTAAAAAATATTGATGTGGTGTTTATTTTTCTTTTATGGCCTAAAGCACAGAAGAAAGAGCATGCAGCTTGGTCATCACACTGATCTTTGTGGTAAGAAGTTTTAAGGTTATCATGTAATGCATTCATGTTTGCCTAATTCTGCATTTCTTCAGGTCCACAATGTCACAAGTCAGTGAGTTCCTGGTCCCCATGGGCAGTACTTTACTAAGAAATCACTGAGTGGATGAGTACATAAGTATTACATGTTATTTAATTATTGTATTTATATGCCTTGTTTGCGTTAGACTACTATTTGTCAATTATAGGTGTAAGTTATTGTGCATGTTATGAATAACCTATAATTTGTTGTACAACTAGGTTAAAAGCTGACAGTTGTGTTGGGCTAGTAAAAATACGTTAGTAATAAGTATTTGTTGTGTGTATGTGGGTGCTTTACATGAGCCTGTTCTATGTTTAATTGAATGCAATGATTTGTGTCGGTTATTTGAAGTTTAGCATGGCCCAAACATTTGTGTCCTTTTTTCAGCGGGTTGCAAAATCAGCGGGAGTGGGATTAAGAAACAGTCCCGCGCAGGGCTCTACTTCACAGTAGTACTGGAAGATTGTATTCTCATCTGAAACCAGGTGGTCTTGTTCCAGGAGCTTCCCATAATTGCCCGTAGCATCTTGTGTGAACATCTTTGACTGATCATAAGTAAGTGTAAAGACGAAATCATTAGATAACTGTGTTCATGTGATGCAGGGAGAATGTTTCTTGTTATTGCTCATTTGTTCTTGGAAGACCACACACATAATTGCCTGGAATCACAAATGTCTGTGTGGCTACTGTTGAAGGCAACAGAAATTAAAGAAACGAAAAGAAGACTGCTTTGTGGTCGTTCTAATCGCCACCTGAACAACACATCATCTTAAACTAGTGAATACAGTCCTTCTTGAAGTCCTCATGAACAATGAGAAACCTTACATGTAGGATTGATGGTACTCCATCCTGGCTAGTTATTTACACAAATAGCCCGCTACATTTTCTTACAACAATGAAGAATTTAAAATGCCAGGTCAATATACAACTCTTGACAGAACCATTCAATTTTACATTTAGATAGAACAAATAATGTATGTAAACTTAAAGAGGTCATATTATGCTTTTTGGCCTTTCCCCACTCCTTTGTTGAGTTATATCTTTTTGTGCATGTAATAAGTTTGCAAAGTGAAAAAGCCTAAAGTCTACCCAAAGGGAGTTCCCATCTTCCACAGAAAACACTGCTCTGAACTCCCTAAAAACAGCTCATTTGTAGCCCAGCCTTTTCTTCCGCTTTGCCTTGAATCACAGCAAACAAGCGTCATAATCAAGCGGGAAGCTTCCGGTTTGAGAACTGAATGAGTTTTTGGCCTCAATCACTATTCGGGTCTTCAACACACTGATGTCCATTTAGTAAATTATGGTCTCATTTAGAGGAAAATAAACCACAAAGCAGAGGCAGGATTATCTGTGATTGACAAGTCGTTACCATGGCGACCTGTCAATCAGGCTAGAGTGACTTGTACCCACTTCACTGTGAAATTTAACCAGCGCTGTTGAAAAAGCTTATTAGGAGTTGGCTGTTCACTTTCTCTGGTGAGTACATTTAGTTTTAAGGCTGTTGTTCTCTAGACAAGGTTGTCATCCCAGTTAAAATGACAGTTAATGTGAATTACAGATGCACCTAGCTAAGCAAGTTAGCTAGCTCTACACACGGCCGTTAGCTCCACCGTCTTGTCCAAATATGGTTACGTCCGTTGCCGCTGGTTGCAAAAAACATGCCTCACCCTGTCTGCCAAACTAGGGCTTCAAAATGGCAGTCCCACAAATCAAGGGCTTCAACGGTGACTACATCCACTCTATGTCATATGCTCGCCTAGCGGCTAGTCCGACACGCCCATCCATCACATGGAAAAACACTCGGCACACAGTGACAAGACATCTGCCTGCTGCCTCTCCTCTCCCTTCCAACACTAGCTACCCTCCAGGCAGTCAATGACATGAAGTTGTTACTGTGATGTAGAGACAGAGCTCAGTTAAAACTTTATGGATGCAAGATAAATTTGTTTCAGATTAATAACTCAACACTCTGAAACTCTTGCTCCAGTCCATGTTGCTAAGCTGGTAGGGGAACAAATAGAGCTGAAGTTCCAGAGTAGGGCCCGCCCTACTCTGCTTCTGATTGGCTATTAGTCCTTAACTAGATACTGCCAGTGACCTTTGGAGAAAGAGTTGCGTCATCTCTATTCACTCCAATGGACCATTTTTTCACAGCAATGGCGGATCATGGAGCATCTCAATAGTTCCTGGAAATGTGCAGCAAATGTTAGCGGAGCTGCAACAGAAATGCTGAATCAAAGAATCAAGTTAACATGTGCATTAAAGCATGTTAGTTTATTTAACCTACATATTTTTTGAGGGGTGGGAGATTTTGGGAGAGATTGAAACAGGCAAGGTTAAAAGTAAAGGTTAAATAGGTTGCAATTTTTTTCAAACTATCTTTACAGATATGTAGGTTTGTTTAACCTTTTCTCTCTTTTGTTCTCCCTTTCTCAACACAAGAATCACAGGGGGATTCAGTGGAGCGTGAAGATAATCTGCTGTGATGTTTTTAATAAACCAAACATTAAGCCAGTGATGTGTTTTTTCTTTGTGTAATATAATAATAATAACAATCTTTATTTATAGCACAAATACCAGTTACAAAGTGCTTTCACAAGTGTAAAAACAATTACATGCTAAAAACAAGAAAACACTTATGACTAGAATACACGTTTTAAAATAAACATAAAATATATTTAAAAAATATAAAATAAAATCGGGAAAGGTTCTCCTATAAAAGTATGTTTTAAGAAGGGACTTAAAAGAGTTCACTGACTCAGCCGACCTGATTTCCTCGGGCAGGCTGTTCCAGAGCCTTGGGGCCCTGACAGCAAATGCTCTGTCCCCTTTAGTTTTCAGTCGAGACTCTGGAACAGACAGCAGACCTCTGCCCGAGGATCTCAAGGTACGTGCTGGTGCGTATGGGACTAAAGGTTCAGAAATATAACAAGGTGAGAGTGAGCGTCAATGTCCTTAAAAGTTAACATAGATCGTATTTTAGATATATTTCTAAGCTGGTAAGAACATGATTGCACTAGCTTTGTGGTGTGCTGCTCAAAATTTAAATTACTATCAAACCAAACACCAAGAGTCTTTGCAACAGGCTTAACATGATTCACTAGGGAACTAGCAGATGGCAGTATTTGCTTTGCCATCTGCTGGGACCCAATTACTAGGATCTCAGTTTTGTCTGAGTTGAGGTGGAGGAAATTATTTGACATCCAATTTTTGACTTCACAGAGGCAGTCGGTAAGTGAACTCAGCATTCCAGGGTCTGTGGATCTGACCGGCAATACATCTGTGTGTCTCTGAATAATGTGTACAAGGGGAAGCAGATACAAGGAAAATAAAATGGGTCCTAAAACCGACCCCTGAGGCACACCATATTTAACTGGACAGAACGAGGAGACATAGTTGTTCACAGACACACAGAACTTCCTATTTGACAAGTAGGATGAAACCATTCTAGGGCAGTACCAGAGATCCCCACCCAGTGCCTCAGTCTGTCTAACATGATGTTGTGATCAATGGTGTCAAAAGCAGCACTAAGGTCCAGGAGTACTAGGACTGAGCACATGCCATCATCAGCGGACATTAAAAGGTCACTGGTGACTTTAAGGAGGGCAGTTTCAGTGCTGTGGTACTTCCTGAAACCAGATTGAAAAAAAGTACCTCACATATTTTGTTGTCGTTGGCCTCTTAAGGTCGCTCCTGTTGACCTGAGTCAACCATTTTTTCCTCCCCTCCATGTCAGCTGGGAAACCATACATTCATACTCCTTTTTCTGACCAACTGCAGCATCTCCACACAACACAATAAACCATGCTGTAGAGTAAGAAGGCACACAGGCACAAACCACTTAACATGCTGTTTTCTGAGTTTATTGGAGATTTATTAAATGAATAGCTTACATGGCAATCAGTAATAGTCACCTGGCTGTTCTATCTGAAGTCATAAAATCACATTAGTCATTAAGATCAATTAACCCAGGTACCATGGGATTACTGAAAGTAACGTTAGAAAGTTAAATCTAATCTGAATTTTAAAACATTGTGTTTTCAAGAGGAACACACTTTTCAATGTAAGGTTAGCCAAAAAATGTCAACAAGGTAGATGATTGTAGCTATTAGTCAAAAAGTCCTTTTTTTAAAAAAAAAATCGTAATGTAACTACATACACATGTCAATGTGCAGTAGGCCTACAAATTGTAAATCAACGCATTTATTGTATAAATGACCAAAAATTGGAAATACAGCCAGTCCCGACTTGACAGCAAAATATTTAACATATTTCTGTCACTTATGTAAATAAGCATGCTCAGTAAATGGTATAGACTGTATGAACTAACTACTTTCATCTTCTGTGATTCAACAAAGTAGTGAACACAAAATAGATATATTTTAATCTACATTGCTGCCGTTGTCATGGCACACTGTCCCTCCTGTGTAGTGATGTGCGGATCGATCCTAAAGTATCCATATTTCTGATAGCAACGTTTCCTGCTCCAGGATCGATACTCATGTCAAAGGATCGATATCTAAAATCAATCATTTGGAGTGAGTGAAATTATATGTATCTTACTGTCACCAGGATGGTCTAATTATACTTGGTTCATAGGAACTACCTTTCCTTCCGTTTGTCAGTCATGCTTGAGCTACGGCTCTGTGACAGAGCTTCTTTGAAGTGAGCCGCTGCAGCCCTTTACATTTCCTGCGACTGAATACTGACTCTGGCTGACTGTAAAAGCAGTCACGTCTGGCTGTATTTCAGCTGTGAAGGTAATAATGACGCTGTGTGTGCAAAGACAGTGAAATACTTTGGCAACACCGCAAACTTCGCTAAACATCTGAGATTAAGTCAAAATAATAGATGATGTTATGAAGCGGCAGTTCTGAGCAGGAGATTTCTATTATAATTAAAGAATAGACGGACAGTAGTTTGATGTCTTGTCATTATGGAGCTATTTTGAATTGGTAAGGCTACAGCCTACTCTTTATTTCTCTCATAAATACAGAAATGGGAGAGGGAGGTCACATTAAACTAGAAATAAAATACAGTGCCTTGCGAAAGTATTCGGCCCCCTTGAACTTTGACCTTTTGCCACATTTCAGGCTTCAAACATAAAGATAAAACTGTAATTTTTTGTGAAGAATCAACACAAGTGGTACACAATTATGAAGTGGAACGAAATTTATTGGATATTTCAAACCTTTAACAAATAAAAACTGAAAAATTGGGCGTGCAAAATTATTCAGCCCCCTTAAGTTAATACTTTGTAGCGCCACCTTTTGCTGCGATTACAGCTGTAAGTCGCTTGGGGTACGTATCTATTAGTTTTGCACATCGAGAGACTGACTTGGCCATTCTAACACCTGGAGATGTTTATTTGTGAACCATTCCAGTGTAGATTTTGCTTTATGTTTTGGATCATTGTCTTGTTGGAAGACAAACTACGTCCCAGTCTCAGGTCTTTTGCAGAATGGTCCTGTATTTGGCTCCATCCATCCTCCCATCAATTTTAACCATCTTCCCTGTCCCTGCTGAAGAAAAGCAGGCCCAACCATGATGCTGCCACCACCATGTTTGACAGTGGGGATGGTGTGTTCAGGGTGATGAGCTGTTGCCAAAAAGTTCGATTTTGGTTTCATCTGACCAGAGCACCTTCTTCCACATGTTTGGTGTGTCTCCCAGGTGGCTTGTGCAAACTTTAAACGAGAGTTTTTATGGATATCTTTAAGAAATAGCTTTCTTCTTGCCACTCTTCCATAAAGGCCAGATTTGTGCAGTAAACGGCTGATTGTTGTTCAAAGGTTTGAAATATCCAATAAATTTCGTTCCACTTCATAATTGTGTCCCACTTGTTGTTGATTCTTCACAAAAAATTATGTGTTGAAGCGAACAACCGAATACTTTCGCAAGGCACTGTATGTAAAAAGTATTGGTATCGGCAATACCAGCCTGGGTATTACTTGGTATTGGATCAGATAGGAATTAAGTGGTATTGCACATCACTACTCCTGTTTCACACTGTGTATGAATCACACAAAGCAGGATATTAGCTTTTTATATTTCATTTACATTTCACAGCTGCATTCGTGTAAATGTTGTATTACAGTGTAGTATTTAGCTTGAGTGTTCTTGGCCTTTCCAAGTTTAAATAAGTTTAAAATAACCTTAACTCACTAGAATGAAGACGGGTATGAAGACTTTTATTATTCGTTGTATTGTTTTACATTGTAAACTGAGTAATATAATTATAGTTGCAGTGCACTGATCAAATACTACAGTGCATATATGCAAGACATGTGCAATACATTGCTCAGCAAATCATAGTGAAAAAAGAACTACAAAACAAAAAAAACAATAAAAGAAGAATCAGCAAAAAGGCTGCTATTGTAATAGAAAGTAATAACATCTTAACAAATGTGTGTAAAATATGCAAATATCTTTAAACCTTCAGATTAAAACACATCCAGTGTACATAACTATTCACACTTTGATATAAATAAAAACTCATACATTAAATAAAATATTTGAGGTACTGTTCTGCTGAGGTAAGTGGACATGCCACACTGCATTTAAAAACATAGAGCAGAAAGTGTGTGGGTCTGTGTTTTTGTAACAACTGACCTTCACTTTGGAAAGTTCCCACCATGGCCTTCAAATATAACTAAAAGAATGGGTAGTTATACCCCTTTCACGACTGATGTGAATTTATTACCATAACTACCATAGCTGAGAAAAACATGGAAAGCCCTATGTTATAGGATGGGAGATTGATGCATGGAGATTATTTTCTTGTTAAGTGACTCTTCAGAGAATGTTACATCCTCTAAACCTATGAATACTCATTACAGCATGTTCTATTGGCCTATGATCTGCGTCACTTTGGCGCCCTGGAAACCGCAACACTCGATCTCTGATCCTCCCGCACCCTTTCAGCACCATCCTGTCCTCGTACACGGAGACTGTGCCAAAGGCATTGCCTTCAGGCGGAGTCTCAATCACGCCCTCTAATGTGAGGTGGTGCACTCCCGTGTCTTTGTCCCGGCAGTATCCGCCGTCGTGGTCGTGTCCAGCCATGAAACACACCACACTGCTGTGGGACCGTATGATGGCCAGGAGCTCATCGAAGTTCCAGGCGAGGCACATAGGGTCTGTGGAGTGGGGGTGTACAGGGAGGTGACCTGGGCAAGAGGACAGCAGATGAAAACCCAACATATGTTACACTGAACTCTGTTGACAGGTGATGGGAGGTCCTACTGCATACGTGAGATCTGATAAATTGACTTACACACACGCATTAATTGCAGACTTCCCCTAAGCAAGTTCATAACATAAAGGTCCAGTGTGTAATAATTCTGTGGATCTATTGACAGAAAGGCAATATAATATCCATACTATGTTTTCATTGCTGTATAAAGATCTTACATAATGAACCGTTATATTACCTTAGAATGAGCCATTTCTACTGTGGCGGTTTTGGGGTGGGGGTGGGGGGGCAACAGGGGCCAGTGCCCCTGTAACACAGACCCCGGGCCCCCCCATGGCCCCCCTCTGAATGAAAAGTCTACAATAATCATAGTAATATATCTTCCTTGCGACGATACACTGTCCAGTGCCGTGCCAAGGCAGTTATCCCTGATAGAAAGTGTCCCCCCGCCATGAAGTGCGTGCATTCAACGGTGAAGGCGGAGTTTTGACTTGATGATGATATACCTGACCACGTAGTTGATCACTTTATCATCCATGTTAACTCACTGTTTGGAAGCTAGATCCAGACAGACTGTCACCTTTTTCAAGTAAGCTGCTCCTACAAATTCTACACCATCGTAAAATCAAGATCACTGTAATCAGTTGAACACGTTGCTCGCCTCAACGTTACATCTGCTTGACTCGAAATATACATTAAACTGAATGCAGCATTGCAGACAATATTTTGTCCTTGTAATCCATGTTTCCATTGCATGGATAGCCTTTGGATATCGCTGGAAATTAAGGAGGGGGACTCAGAACAAAGGGTAAATTATTATCATAACAATTAATGCATGCATTTAAACAGCACTTTTCATTCACACAAGCGATAACAGTAGCCTACTGGTCCTACCAGCTGGACATGCAGTACATGCAATATGTATCCCCCTCCATAATGCACAGATGATGGCCTACTATATTCACATCAGGACTAATAAAAGAGGTGAATATGGGACATTTGTTGTTTCCTAGCAAAGGTTATAGTGCGATACATATATTTTAGGCTATATTTTCAACCTGCCATTAAACATATCCCCCCTTTATAACGTATAGATGATGCCTATGATCAAGTATTTTGTTTTGGGTATATGTCTTATCAGGACTAATAACAGGGGTGAATGTGGTGGCATTTCTTGTTTCCTAGCAAAGTTATAGTGGGATACAAAATACAAACTGGGATCCAGAGAATGTCTAGTCCAAAAGAGCTTATACTGTTCATTAAGCCCTACAAAGACGTGTTGCATCAAACAATGTACTGTAACTTGAGCTAAAGTTAACAGGAATGTTTTTGTTTTTGTATAATGTCATTTAATAAACTATAGCTGAGTTAATGAAGATCCTGTTAGTGAAACAAATAACTGTAAGTTATTGAAACCTACTAAAACATTTCATCATGTACTAAACAAGACATTTTGAAAGCTTGAACATTTCCTTTGTCTCTTTTTCCCCGGATTGAATATGCCCCTCAAAATAACTGGCCCCAGTCTGGCCCCCCCTCAATAAAATTAGAACCGCCACTGCATTTCTATCTACAGAACTGTGGGTCCCCCTTACATGGACGTTGCCATGTTGTGCCGCCATTTTTCTACAGTAGCCCAAAACAGACAAACTGCTCTACAGCCATTTTGTCACTATGTTCTTCGTGTAGAATTCTGGCAGTGTAGACACTCATTACTAAGTTGAATTACGTACATTCGAAGAAGTATAATAATATACAGCAGGGGTCTGCACATAAGTTTTGCATCTGAGCAAATTCTTTTTTACATTAGATGGTGGATGAGAACATAAAGCATTATATCTAAACTACACTAAATGTTACAGTGTTTGGTTAGCTCAGTTGGTAAAGCGCAAGACTCTCACCTAGAAGGTTGTGTGTTCGATTCCACGAGAATTTTATTTTGACTTTAACAAGTTAATTATGTTATGACTGTTCCACATGCTCACAATAAACATGTGCTGCCGTGTGTGTTCTGGTGCTACAGACACTTCTTTTCATTTCCCCAGTATCTCCAGGCAGAGGACATTTAGGGGAATCACGTTTTCTGACGGCTCTTTCAGAGGTGTGTCAAGCAGGCTACAGACTCTTTTAATGTTGTTTAGAATTTTTCAAAGTAAAAGCTCTCAATACAAACTTGAAATAACAGACGTTCTCGCGCCTTTATTTTGCAGACAAAACCACTAAGAAGAAGTGATTATATGAGTAATTGTTGCTGCCACGACAGAGATCTATTTCAGCATGCTATCAAAGTATTCATTTATTTTTTGGCCGCTACCAAAGCACCACAATCTGACCGGCCATGTGTATAAACTTTATCTATTATGTGTATGTTTATAATGGACTGTGGTGCAGAAACAGTGACAGTGTTTCACACTCTTGGCTTACATTTTCCATGTCAGTGGCCAAGTCACAATAACATGGTTTTACTGAATAATTAAGTAAATATAATTTCTTAATATATCTACCTAAAGAAACTTCATTCTTGACTGGCTTTCGTGACTGGGCGGGCGGTAGACTAGACAGTTGGTTGTACTGCTAGATGCATCTAAATCTTACACACTTAACCTTAAAAGTACAATTTAGTACAGGCTTTTCCACAGAAGACACTTTCATTTTGCTGATTCCATAGCAGAGGAGAGACTATGGCCTCAGCCTTCTGATTAAACTCAGACAGAAATCACATAAATAAGAGCTTGTTTGTACAAGAGTTCACTGAGCTCATGTGTTGGAGCAGGTACATCAGTGATCCTTGAGAGGCCAGTGTATTCAAAGCCCACGGTTAAAAAGGGGTCATGTGAATAACCTGCACTACACAATGGTAGAAGCTAAAAAAAGCCTGTATGACCACGCTGCGAGTCATTGGAAGCAACTGGAACAGCTGGGTTATGCTGTTAAACATGGTCAGACAAACCTGGTGGTCTTTTACCATCATTTTAGAGCTAGATCAGAATCTTCTCATTTTAAGTGCAGGGCTATGGGTACCAAAACTAATCGTATTCATTTGAACTTTGTACATGCCACAGGTTTTACTTACTGACAATTGTGACTTTTTCCCGTTTCTCATCGGCTGAGGACAGAACCGACTCTAGCCACTTCAGCTGGTCCTTACTGAACCCACCGTTGAACATTGTAAACCTCTGCTGCAGGCCGTCACACGCTGAAACAAGAAAACAAAATATGAAAATCATAATCTATTTTTTCCATTCATTAGTAGTCACCCTGGTGTCTGTATAATGGCTAAAGTGTAATAAAATATGTAAATTAATAGATTAATTGAATTATCAAAACAAAAGGAGGTCCATTTCCAAATCCATAAACATATGGGGAAATCTGGGTAAAGGAGTTTCCTCTCTAGAACTACTGCCAATTGACAGTGTGTCCTTTAGAAAGGCACTTCACATTAAACTGCTCCAGCAGAGCTGCTTAGGGGCAGACAGACAGTGAAAGACTTTGATTCGACAATGTAAATGCAGAACAGTTCTAAAGAATATCTACATGCTTAGTAGACTTTCCTGACATAAAGACATAGAACAACAAGGCTTAAGTCAGCTTCTGGCTCTGGATTCAGGGTTTTTTTACTGAATAAGGCTACACAATTAATCAAAATATTATCAATGCAATATGACCAGCTAAAACCAAGGTAAAAATCTGTGACAAAACATTAATATTAAGATTGTTTTGATGTTTGATGTTTCTAATAAATTACATGCCATTACATGAGATACACTGACATGACAAAAAATGTGTGTATTTAAATATTTTTTATTATTAATTAATTATTTGCATTGTGAAATGTTCAGGGTGTATACCTGTATATAAATAACTGTAGTCAATATTGTTTTAATTTTACATGTTACCATATTTTAATTAATTACCTGTTAAGATCTCTGTGTGTAGTATGAAGGAACTACAAACTTTCTTTTCGTTATATAACCTTGTGTTCTATAATGATAAACTAATATAATATAGTATTATATTAACACAATGTAAAAATGAACGGCGACAAGTCAGCAGGACAGTAGGCCAGTAGTTCTCAAACTTTTTTACGCCAAGGAACCCTAAACTGACACAAATTATACCACAAAAAGATTTTGTCTCAGGATAGTCCATCTGATAGGATTTTTCTTTTAGATGTTTTATTGAAGAAAGTGTATGAAACCCAGGACCAAAATAGTCATACACCCTGTCACTGTGTTACTTATGAATGTACTTAGTGAAAATAAATGATTCCCCTTTTTACTGGGGAGTCCCCTCAAGGGACCCACTGGTAAAGGCTACCTGGGGGACAGTTGAGATCCTCGTTGTTGTTGAATTGTTTTATCAGATCCATAGCATGGCAGTACTCGTCACTGGACTCCTCTCTGCCCAGCAGGCTCACATCGTAGGCATCCAGGATAACAAATGTGAACCCCGGGAACGGGCTGAAGCGGTAGGAGTAGATATCTCCGCCGGCCTGGGCTCCACTCACAGTGCTGTCACAGTGCGGTGTGCTGTTGAGCTTTGACCGCAGCAGCGAGCTCCTGCTGAAGTTTAAAAGCTCATGGTTCCCCCACACATGGTGCACCTCCACGGAGCTGCAGCTGAACTCCCTCAGCACGGTGTCCAGCGCTCGGTCGGAGGCGTCGTGGCGCTTGTTGAAGCCGTCAATAATGTCTCCCAACTGGAGGATAAACTCTGGTTTGACAGCCGACTCCGACCAACTTTCCTGGGCATTTCTCAGCAGCTGGAGGCCGTTCCGGTAGTACCGCTTCCGGGTCCGGACGTAGTTGTACCCGTCGTCGATGTCAGCGTACTGAATGTCAGCTATCACGCCGAATGTAAACATCGGCGTTTGTCGAGAACAGTCGTCCATTCTCGATGTTGTCTTCGGACTAACTGGTGCCTGAGGGCGTTTGCTGTCTCTGCCGAGGGAGCTGACTGTACATGAAACACTAACCAGACACCGGTATGCGCGCAACCTCCTCACATGGTGAACTCCAGCCAGGCTGTTCAGTGAACATTTCCTCTGCCGGCCTACACGATGACAGCACTTTCGCCAACGTAGTCGAATGACTTCCGGTTTCCGTATCATTCAAAATAATGCTGTTAGAACCCGAAACGGTAAAGGTGACGGACATTGACAACAGGTGGGTTCAGTCTCTGGTTGGAGTTCTTCTTCTTCTTCTTCTTATTACGTTAAGTTAACGTTAAGGTGCATTACCGCCACCTACGATGTTGGAGTGTGGAGCAGAGTTCTCCAAACCCTTAATAAATAAGTATAAACAAACCTGGGAGTACTTTATCTTCGTGGGTTTTTAAAGACGGTTTAGCATCCAACGTGTTGTATTACTGCCTTTTCTGGATAAAAGTAAACATTCCCAACCAATGTCACAAAAAAGTAAGGGTAGAAAATGACTTCACTCCTCATCCCTTACTTTAATAACACTGAATTTGGGATCTGAGAGAGCCTGAAAGCCTCTCAACAGCCCCCTGCGCTTCCTCTCCAGTAATTTCTTGGCTATTTCCCTCAGATGTGCTCAGCAGCACAGTTAATCATCATGCTAACAACCTCATCTTTCTCTTGGACCAGGTCCTTATGACTTCCATCTCTTTCTTGCTCTTTGAACAGTCTGCTTGCCGTTTTTCATAAGCCCCCCCCCCCCCGACGCCGATTAATCTTGGGTTCTTCGCAACAGTTTCGGCTCCTGCAAATCTCACCTCCACATTTACCACATTTATCCCAATACCATGGCTACATACACGCGAGATGTGACCAAATTTCCAACAATACCTGTGCTGAATAAAAACACTTAACTACAGTTATTCTTATTATTAGTCCTATTATTATTGTCATTTTCATATCCATCACTATCATTACTATTATTTCCACAGTTTAGACCTGCTCAATATGAAAAGTGCAATGATATACCTTTTGTTATAAATGGGAGCTCTATAAATAAAATAGAATTAAAGGTTCCTGAACTATTAAATCAATTACAGTATAATTGTATGAACGTCTGGTTTCACAATACCAAAAAGAGCAATTACAACAACTAGGAGGCTGATCCTTCACATCCTATGCTCTTTCTGTCACACCAATATTTTGCAGATTGTGAAACTGTGTGGAGTGCATTTAACAGAATGAAGGATAAGGGGGGGCAGTCCTTGCCAGACAAAAGCATTTTATGTAAACTACAGAGCTGCATGGAGGGTGGTCCAGAGAGCCCAAAACAAAATCTGTTTAGGGCCCGGAAAAAAGGTTGCGACTGGCCCTGCAGCTACTGAGTTTAAACTTGTAAATGGGTTAAGGTTCCTTTTGTTTCAGAGGTTTTACATTATTATGATAAAATGTCCATTGTCACTCATGAAAATGATGTTGTTCTGTAAAGTGCCACAGAGGGGCACTGCACTGTATGAAGGTACACACTTTATACATCTATAGTAACAACAGAAGGCAATAGAAAATGTCCAGTTGTCACAACCATCCATCTTCATAACACATTGAAAATACAAGCTTAACGGACTGATTTACATATTTTTCATACATATGTTATTTTTAAACAAAGGTTATAAGATGCAGTGTTGTGGATTGATCAGACAGGTCAGTTCTCGCCCCCATCTTCCACTGAAGCTGCTTCCTTTTTGCCTGCTGACAAAAGAAAACACACAGACATGCACACAAAGACTTCAGTGCAGATTTTGATGCGTCTCACTTTGAGGACTCATTTTTATATCTCCTAAACTACAGTCACAAAAAAAAGCCATGAAGATGAATTTTTATGTTTCAGGAACAACAGCAAACACTGAACTTCGGCAGATTGGCATATTTACTGCAGGGTTATTTTGTCCACCCGTTTAGTACACTGTAACACGTCTAGATTTGTCAGTGTTTCTCCTCAAATAGTTGTAATGATTTGAAATGTTTTTTTAAATACATTTAAAAAATAATCAGAGTATCAATATTTCTGGGAATTTGTAAGATGAGGAGATAAACTGGCAGTTTTGAAACGGCATTTAGACCATGTAGGGATCAACCTTTTTTATATTTTCATGAATTTTTTAAACACGCAAAAAATGTATACAGTTCTGTTGGTGCCTGGTAAAAATATCTTAAGCGGGTGGGATTACAAGTATTTCTAAAATCCTGGCTATGAGCCTGACACTGACTGTCATTTTGGATTGATGTTCACATGAAGTGTCTTTACCTGGAGTCCACAGCGTCAGGCCAGTGATACACTTGGGAATCCACTTGAGGACGGCGGTGGAGGCCAACTCGCCCCACTCCCCCTCAGCTCGGTCCTGCAAAGAACAGAGGGCGAGTGAGACAAAACATCAACCTTTAATGTACAGAGAAGAAATGCTCAGACTACGGTGACACATTTTGTCTTGTACTGCAAGCAAAATGCACATATTTTTCCCATTTTAGTGTTCATTATAAAGAAGCAGCATTTCTGTGTGTTGAGCAAGGCGAGCGCGAAAACATCTGCAAACTTACTCAACATGACACACACTGCAACCTGCATCTCCAACACACCTCTAGGTTATTAACATGCATCCTGAAGTTTTTATATAGTCACTTCAGATGACTGATCACATCGTGCATATAAAGTCAAACATGCACTTAGAACATGCAAGTGTGCATTCTGAAAAATAATAATACTTTAATAAACAATAATACAAGTATATTCAACAACAGTAATGCATTCCTGTGCATAAAAAGACATACTGCACACTCCAAGGTCATTATGCAAGACACTGATAGATTCTACTGGAAAAAGGCACAGCGTTGTGTATAAAGGCAGCGGCAGCACCTCCTCTGCTCCTCCTGAGGTCCCTAAGGTGAGATAACCCTCCCTGGAGCCATGGTAGGGGCGACTCCTGTGCTTTTATATTTTTACTGTTCTCCTCAACAGTCGCTGGCTAGAGTTTCAGTCAAGAGAATTGTCGTGGTTATAAATGTGTGTCACTGCGATGTGTGTGTCATATAATGACTGGTATTCATTCAGTGTTTCCTCCTGACAGAGTTCCAGTTTTCCATAATATCATGAGGAAATGAAGCGCAAATCAGTTGAAACAATTGGATTGTGTTGATGTTTTTTACCTGCTCTGCTTGGTGGTATTCCCCATGCTGCTCACACCCGAGGTCAAACACATACTTCCCCGGGCCTTGTGGCTACAAAATAAGAATGGATTGTTTCCACTGGTTATAATAACATGGTACTCGCTCAAGAAATTGCTGAGATCTGGCAACAAGGCAATATTGCTAAATATGAGTCCAACAAGGCAGGGAACATGAGCAGTGAGATGATAAGACAGGGTGTAAACAAGTAAACACAGTTTTAGATCAACCAGATTAGCTCGGAAGAAAAATCAAAAGTGAGTGTATTCATAATGTCGCTAACTGATCGTAACTTAGACTGCTCATTGTAACTGATTGAATCTGTGGCCTGCGACACAAAAGTAAAATCCAAGTTGTAATAAAGTGTAATTTTCCATGAGTAGTCGTTATGACTTAATTCTGAAAGAACTTTTTCAGCTTCTGAAGGGGGGCATTTCTGTACTGCACTAAACCCTCAGCTTTATTAGTTCTCTGACAGAGATTGATCTTGTTAAATTATTCAGACCATTGAGGGTACTAGTGTCCCTTGCACGCCCTACTCAGGCCACAGTGAAATCTATTGCACATTTTCATTCATCATCGGCCAAGCATTTTGTGAATAAGTAATAAGAAAGTAGAACTTACGTTATTGTTGACAAAGTTACCCTTGTATCTGTGGTTGGAGTGGATGTACTCTCCTTCTGACTCCATCTTGCCTTTCACCCATGAGCCCTTGTACTTCGAGCCGGTTTTGTGGTAGTGGTAAATGCCCTGGCCATGTCTACCAATCAGACAACACCAACGAGTTCAGTAGTTTTCAAATTCAAATTTTCTACACTTATTTAGAATGGATCTGGTAATATACAGGTAAAAAGATGTCTATGCATCTATGTTGAAACAAGGCTGAATTTTGTTGAAAAGTGTGATTAACAGTTACTAACAACACATGTAACCTCTAAAGAATTTCAACAAAGATGTTGTTTGAAAAGAAACATATCCACCATACTGGGTAATTAAGTAAACCCCTGTTTCTGTTTTCCATAGCAGTGATTTCCAGAGATAAATTACATGCTGTGTATTTGTCTGTGTCAGTGAGTTAATATTAAAGATGTCAGGCAGGATTTAAAGTCAGTACCTTAAGAATACAGGATTTGGTTCCAGCCCTGCACAGAAATGTGTGCTTTACAAACATCTGAGTGACATGCACTTTTGATTTTAAAACTGGAGCTATACCTCATATGATGCAGCCACTCCCCATCATAAGTGTCTCCATTGGGGTAAGTGTAGACACCATGACCCTGTCTCAGGTCCTCAACCCATGACCCTGGCAGAGAAAGAGAGCCAGCAGAAAGAGTTTGGTTTCTTTATTTCAAAAGTTTATGAACTGTCCCAAGACTGTAAACATACATTTTTATGACACCATGCACACACACTGTAGTTGGCAACCATCTCAATTCATACACTTTATTGTACCTTCATATTTAGAGCCATCTGGATAGTAGAACGTGCCCTGCCCATGTTTCATGTTCTGGTAATAGTCTCCGACATATCTTGCCCCATTCTTGAAGCGATATGTCCCCTATTAGACAAAACAGTCAAAGATAAATACAAGAAAAAAAGAGACAACCCTTTTCCATGTAACATAATGGAAACCTTTGTGCCAATAATAGAAATATTGCTTCCATCATAGACTGAATATCGATCTAAAAGTAAACAACAAAACATTAGTCAGAGAACAATCTTAAATTCAAAGTGTACAGTGACCTCATTGTGCTCTTGCAAAGTCTACACTCACACTGTCCTATTAGGTTCTCCTTTTCACCACATTTAAAGGCTAAAAAGTCTGTGTTCACTCAGCCCCATTTGGACCTATAGTCTTGACAAGCAGACAAAGTGTTGGATTTGATTAGGACTCCCTTTAGTGTCATACCTCTCCGTGTCGTTTGCCGTTCTCATAGTGTCCTTGATAAATGTCTCGGTTGGGCAGAACAGCTTTACCGACGCCGTGCCTCTCTCCTGCTTCATTTCTGTCCCCTTCATATTCCTGCGCCAGTCAAACAAACATCATACGACGTTATCCAGGGACAGAGACAGCAACACAGACAACGCACAGAGCTGCCTGCAGACACGCGCATGAATTAATATCCGGTGAAAGTTAATGCTAACGTTAGCTTCAGTCAGCTAACAACAAACCCAACAGAGCATCTGACAGTAACTAACGTTAGCTAATTCTCTTCTCTCACCCCGAGTTTACTGTGTTCATCCTCAAACTCATCAGACCCTGCATCCGACATCGCTCTTTTCAATTCAAGTCACTTTCTAAGTGTGGACGATGTCAAACTTTTATTTGAAACGCAGTGGTAAAAACTGGAAAGATGCTCAGCCAACCTGTGCGCTTTCTAGTTTATGGTTGCCATAACAACGCCTAGTCATGAGCGTGAGTTTAGGGAGTCCTGCCCGGTTGGCGGCGACATATAGCTATAATGAAATATGAAAATACCACCGGACTAGTTAAGCACTGTCTCTGGCTTGCTGTGTCCCGACATATGTTGTGGTTTGCCAAATCCAGTATACCTAGGGTTGAAGTATGTGTTGGTGATGCAAAAAACGGACACGTTTTCTTTGTCCTTGATAAAAAAAAAAAAAAACACATTTTGGATTTGCTATAATGATCCGATTCGTAATCTGACAGAATATGATAAAACTAAAGCAGCTTACTTTGGGGCTTTTCAGTTGTTGTGCTTGAGTCCAGAGATTGCAGATTGCCTTTAGAGTCATTGGAATAAATGAATGAATGTATAAGCCTACTGCAATATCAATTTTAAAAAGTAACACAACAGCAATAGATTAAATACCAACTAACTTTCTTCTACTGGGGACACTGGCTTCCAAAGGTGTCTGGTGTCTTGCATTGGCATTCATAATGTTGTTTGTCCGCTGATGATTACTTATTTCTACTGAACCATCAAGTCGAATAAAAACTTTAATAAACTTTTAGTTTTACTTAGTTCAGCCAGGATTGGGGGTGTTTGTTTAGTACCTACAAAGATAATAAAGTAAGTCCAAGAATGTTTTGGGCATATTCCAGGTTGTGTCCTCTTCTTACATTATCATCCAAAAAAATTGTAAATGAAAGGAAGTGTAGATAATGGTTTTGAGACAGAACATCCTGTAACACACTTGGTCCCGTGAACAGAAGAAACCTGACAAACTCTACCAGCATCACACCTCTAGCTTTTAGCATCTTCTGGCAGTTTTTTTCTCTCTCTGTTATAGTTATCTTTTGCCTCAACTATGGCAGTGCCCTCCTTCCGGGTCTTCCAGCTTGCGCTGTGAAACCCATACATAATGTTCAGAACACAGCAACACATCTGGTTTTCGATCAACCCAAAAGGACTTATGTCACTCCATTACTCAGCGATCTCCACTGGCTTCCCATGTTCACCCAAATCCAATTCAAGTCAATAATGCTTGCATACAGACTGACTACTCCATAATATAAGCACAGGCTACAGTGAATATACTTGTTCGTATTTTCTTTTCAACAGTACTGTTACAGTAAGTAGCATGCTGTGATTAAGATACTGTTGAAGATTTTATATAGTCCTGATGTTTGTATATCATAATACTGTAAGCTTAAGATCGATAAACTACTCAAAGGATGTCGGAGACATTGTTTTTTATCTTACAAACCGTTAAAGGTACACAGAACCTTTGAGTCTTTTTGCTCAGCCTTGTTGCTCTCAGTCTGTGGCCTTCACACTTTTCTAAGAATAACACACCCACCCAGTCAAGCAATGTTGCTAACTGGCCGTGCAGGAGGCAAGGGTGAAGGCCATAAATCAAAATTAAACTGGCACCCGTTGGTGGGACAATTTTATGGATTTCAACATAATTTCGCTAACAACTGCACTCAGGCCTGATAAGGCTGCAGACACCCCCACACCTGATAAAAGTATCAGTCTGGATACATAAACACAAGGAGGCCTTTCAGAAAGACTGCAGCTCTGAGGGCTGTGAAGGTCATCATGTGACACAGCACACAAACTTGGAGTGCCTGTGTTGATGTTGACCGACTGTGTGATTGTTTCATGCCTATACAATAATTTGCTAATATCAAAATGGTTATCTTATTGATCAATGTTGCATTGCGATCTTTATTTCTTTAGAAGTGTTGTAGGGTAATTACACTGTTTGAACATGTGTGGATGTGAAGGTGGAAAGGGTGGGTCTTACCATAAGACCCAAAAAAGGTGCAGCGAGAAAGGATACATCAATGATTGTAAGAGTTTGATGAGTCTGCTCCCGGGATCAGCTGGGATACACATGTGCTTGTATTTGCACTTAAATGAAATTATGACTAAACTTAAACTGATTTGTACTTATTGGAATAAGTTGGAATCCGTGTTCAGAAAAATACTATTTACATTGAAAGGACGACAGTTCACAATGATTGAGCTATAAGTTATATTGAAGAACATAAAGTGTAAAAGTGAGGGCCCATTCGGCCTCTGGGCAGGTCTGAGGGTTTTTCCTCCCACAGTACATAGGCCTACTAGAAAAAATGCGTTTACAGAGAAACCTGTGGATTAAAGCGTTTTGCTGTAACAAGTGTTTGCAAGACATGAGTTTGATGAATGCTATTCAATTAATTTGGTGACTGAAGTTCTCAGTGATAATGTAAGGACTATCAAAGTGTGAGCAGTTAAAAAAGACAGAATTTTTGACAAAATTTCAAAGACAACAAAAAATGCAGGCTGTTTTCAAGTAAGATAACAAAGTGCCTGTGGTTTCCCAGCAGTGACACAGGAGGGCACTGTGCTCTACCTTTCATTGGATAGAAAAAAGACATTTGAACTATTTTAACTTTATCCAAGAGAAACCAATAAATACTTGGCATCCAACAGAAATGGACAATACGCAAGAGTGAACAGAAATCTAGATCTAATCTACTAATTGGATGACGTCTAAAATTGAATTAAATATACAAATCTATTCAATATATTAAAATGTATTGCTTGGATGTCATATTGATAAAAAATGATGAGTTCTAGCTCAGAGAGGAGCAATTATTAACAGCTGCCTATTATATGGTATCAATGTGCATCTCTGACAGATAATGGACTTTGTGACCTCCACTTAGCAGCACTTTATTTAGACAACTTGAACTTGACTTGACATTAACTCATAAGCCATGAGATTTTGCCATCTGTTGCATTAAAGATTAGAATAAACGCTGCTTGCAATCCACTGCATTCGCTTTGGCTTTCTGAGTATCATGAGGAGGTGATTTTCAAAATGTCTGAAGCAGTTATTCGATCAAGATAAGCACACATGCCAGTTAAAAAAAAAAATGAAAGGCTGCACTGATAATCCACATTGCATCATTGTCCTCGCGCTGAGTATCATGGCCCCCCCCTAAGAATATCTCACTCCTGATTAATTCCCTAAAGTAGCCCATACTTAAGATGGAGGCACTGTAAGCTGTAGGTTCATTGGCTGCTTGTTCATAATTTAGCACCCTTCTTGTCAGTTTACAGCCACCTAACCTCCATCTCATGACACGAGAATGACAAATTCGTGACAGTTTGAAGACCTTCACACAAAGGTGGTAGAATGGTTTATTCATTTTGATGTCCTGTTACCTTGGTACATGTAATGTTGAGGTGCAATCTGTCTACATGTAGATGCGTTTTTGCCACAAAACACACTAACTAAGAAAAAACTCACTACGGATCTAGTTAGAGAGACTCTTGGATGGGGGACCTGCTTTCCACAAGTATGTGTCCTGATGATTTATGCTGCCTTGTCGAAAAATGCTACCATAGTGCAAATTGTTAGCAGAGTAGGGCTGACTCTAAACCTGATGTTGCTCACCATCAGCAAGGCTGCAATTATGGGTGTGGAAATAGAGACCAAGATTGTGGGTCCTGTGCACGCGCAGAATCGCTAAGTAGCACCTCTCGATAGCATAAATCAACAGAACATGAGATCAGACGGACAACATGAAACTTATGTCGGTGTGTTAAATACATAGCTTGAGCCAGGACATGGTTAGCTTAGCATAAAGACTGGAAACGGCTAGCCTGACTTTTGCTAAAGTTCACAAATAGGCCCAACAATGCCGCCAAAGTTTACTTTTTATTATGTACATATATTGTTTAATCTGTACACAAACAGAAAGGTTAGAGTGTGGACCCGTGCTAAAGCCAAAGAAGCTGCACAGAAATGCTGGGCGGATAGACAAATTGTCATTTTACATTTTTGGTTGCAAATAAACAAACATACATATTAATTACTAAGCTGCAGAGGTGTTTCTAAGTAGGTTTGCTGCTTTCCCCATTCCCCCACTCTTTGTGCTAAGCTAGGTAAACCACATCTTGGCTCCAGCTCTGTACTTAATGCATAGACATGAGAGTGATGTTGATCTTCTTATCTCGCTCTGGAAAGAAAATGAACATTTCTGAAAATGCTGAACTATTTTTTAAAGTATTATTATAAATAATGTTATTTTTGTTCTTACCTAACAAGTTTCCCTTGTTTCCATTCTTTGCTTGTTTAATATAATTTAGCGATACATGTTTTCTTTTACGTTATTCTTGAAATTCTTCCTCTCTTTACTGTTGTGCCAACTTCCCTCTCAGCCATTCTCGTGTTACCAGTAGGTCATTGTTTGCCGCGCTGTCCTGCAGAGTTCCTCTTTGGGAGATGATGGCAGGAGAAAAGAGAGGACTCCAAATCTCTGACACTTCCATTAGTCCACTGTAATCTCTAAAGCCGTCCCAGGAGGATCCTGGGGGAATTTCTATTGAAGGATTTATCAGCTATGCCTTTATTTATAAGCTTGTTATCGGAATCACAAGGGTCACAGATGCATTTTGGGCAATATCTCAAAACAGTTTATAAGCCGCAGAGACAGCGGTAATATAGATTGTACTTCAACACTGAAGTGCATGCATTTGAACCAAACTGTCCTATATGACGTTTTATTATCTGATTTTATGAAGTCAAAACACTAACAATGACACAAAGTGCATTCCAGCATAATGTTCCATAATAACTGTATGAAAGTGACTAATCATGCAAGACAAAATACACTTACATTGTTTCATGCAGGCAAAGCATATCATGTATAGAATAATGTCAAAAGTAACAAAGGAGTTATCACTTCTGAGAATTAGATGAGAAGATTGATCCCACTCTCCACCGTCTGTGCATTAAGTACAGAGCTGGAATCTGGGTGTGCATGGTTAGCCTAGCCTAGCATAAAGTCTGAACATTTGGAAACAGTGGAAAGAAAAAAAAAGTTACATCTCGTTTGTTAGTTATACACAGAAACAGAAATGTAAAAATTAAAAACTAATTTGCGGTTTAAAGGGGACGTTAAGGGGAACAATTTCTTGGCGAGTTACGACACGACATGATGC